AGCCACTTGCAGCTCCTGCACACACCTCAGCACAGGCAGCAAAGCCAGCACCTGCCCTGCTGGCATCTCCCACCCTGCGAGCAGCGTTTGCTAATCCAAAGGCTGTATCATCACTTCTTCCCGCAATTCTTTTTTCCCCCCATCTGTTTCTTCTCACACAGCATTTGTCTTCTAACCTCGCCGGTTTGTTTTCCTCTTGTCTTTCTGATTAACAAAAGAATGACACACCTTATCTCTTCCCCAGGCTGCACCGCCCTCGCTTGTTTTGCACGTTCAGCCTCATATCTCAGCACCATATTTGTTTCTCTCTCTCTGAATAAATAGAAGTGTAGGCACTTTTAAGAAATAAGGGCTCTGTTTGAAGAGTAATTAGCTGTCAGCATAAAACTAATATTTATGGATTCTCATCCTTGCAAACTCTAACTCTGCTACCAGCACTGATTATGGCTGTTAGAAACAGATGGGGCTGAATCCATACAGCTTGAAATAATGCTACATTTAAAAAATAATTAACTCCAAATGAAGGACTGAATGCCTCTCGCTACCCCTAAATTTGATTTTTCAATTGGATTTGTTTGCACWGAGTGGAAGCTGGGTTATTCCCGGGTATGTTGTGCACACCTTGGAGGTGGGAATCTGCAGGGAYCCAGGCACACGTGAGGGTGGGTGCTGGAATATTCCAAACACCCTGCAGCAGGAAAGGATGGTCATAGAGAAACCCAGCACCCCTGGATGTGTTGTGTCTGGTTGCCTGGCAAAGGAGTTGGAATTTYACCAGTGGTGCAGGCTTTGTTTTAGTGCTTGACAAAGATACTGGGAGGGGAGCTTTAAAAACTGTTTTTCAAATGCAGGTTGGAGAGGATGAAAGCCCTCGGTGTGTTATTCCCTGGGTTAATTCTCTCTTCATCCCAGCGCAGCATCTTCGCTGGATGCCTGCACCTCTGCGAGAGCAGAGATCCAGGAAATTTATATTCTGCTTAATTAAATCTGTGCTTTTTACTTATTGGCACCTCYTCCGAGAGCAAAATTCCCTCCAAGTTGGTTATCCATCATGGCAAAGGATCCGACAGCCCCAGTCGAATCGCACACCGCCGTGGTTAACTGGGTCACAGCCCGCTCCGCGATGTTTGCCAGGCTGCCAGGATTTGATGCACGAGTGGAGGTGCAATGCTAAACCCCCCGAGCCCTGGCACCCCCAGAACCCCCAGACCAGGTCACCCCGGCTCRGTGGGGTCAGCGCCAGGCTGTGGGTGACAATTCCAGTGCCAGTCCCACAGGGATTCACAGGGACAGAGCCTCCCCAGCTCCCAGGAGGGCACATCCCATCCCTCCATCCATGTGGACCAGCCAAGTTTTGCCATCTCCCAGTTTTTGTGTAAAGTCTGACCCGCACCCTGGGATGGCGTTTCTTGCACAACCAAAGACATCTCCCACCRAGCGAGTTTTCTCCCCCTAATAACCCTTTTCCCCCCAATAACCAAGCTGAAATTTAAATTTCCCTTCACCTAATTTCAGTCACACCCCACCAGGCAGCTTTGATGTCTCCTCTCCGGTGAGCAGAGGTGTGTGATCGCTGACAGGGACAGGGACAGGGACACCCCCTCAGAAAGGGACAGCCAACTCCTGCCACCCTCCATGGCAAAAGGAAGGTGCCAGGGACACCATGTAGGGAATGGGGGCGAGGATGGGGAAGCGAGGGGTGGGTGAGGAGAGTGGGGGCAGTGGGGGCTGTGAGGGGAGGTGAGGGCTGACTGAGGGGAGGACGCAGCTGTGAGGGGGGACACGGCCATGAAAGGGGACACGGCTGTGAGGGGGACACGGCCATGAGGGGGACACGGCTGCCTGAGGGACAAGGGCTGACGAAGCAGGGACACGGGCATGATGGCTGATTTAGGGGACACGGCTGTGAGGGCTGACTCAGGGGGAACATGGCCATGAGGGGGGACACGGCCATGAGGGAGGACACTGCCATGAGGGGGTACATGGCCATGAGGGGGGACACGGCTGTGAGGGCTGACTGAGAAGGGAAACAGCGTGAGGGGGGACACGGCCATGAGCGGGGACACGGCTGCCAGAGGGACAAGGGCTGACAGAGCAGGGACATGGGCATGATGGCTGATTTGGGGGACACGGCTGTGAGGGCTGACTGACTGACT